AAGGTGTTCGGCATTTTTCCCACAAAGGTATGGACAGTGGAGACGAGTTTTTCTTCCATCACTTCCTTTGTTCATCGGATGATTCGTCGTCGGATGATGAAGATCTCGTGGTGGCTGCACTGGTCGTTCACGACCACATTCAACGACAGCTTCCTCGGTACAGGGGGTTAGTCCCTAGCCGTGCTCCCAACCTGAACCGCAACAGGAAGAGAGGCCATGCCCTGCTCTATGCCGATTACTTTGCCAACACCCCGCTCTTCAAGCCGGATAAATTTCGTCGCCGTTTTCGAATGGCAAGGCATGCGTTCAATCGTATCCGAGAGGGAGTGGTTGCTCATGACCCATACTTCGAGTGCAAGACGGATACCCTTGGAAAGCTTGGATTCTCCTCTTACCAGAAATGCACCGCGGCCATCCGCATGCTTGCATATGGAATTCCAGGCGATCTGGTGGATGAGTATGTGCGTATGAGTGAGACAACATGCCTGATGTCAATGTACAAGTTTTGCCAGGCTGTGATCGAGGTGTTTGGCCAAGAGTACTTCAGGAAGCCAACTGCCGCTGATACAGAGAGATTGTTGGTGACCAACACAGCTAGAGGCTTTCCAGGCATGCTTGGCAGCATAGATTGTATGCACTGGGAGTGGAAGAACTGTCCATTTGCTTGGCAGGGCCAGTACAAAGGGCATGTCAAGGCGTGCACTGTCATATTAGAAGCGGTGGCATCACAGGATCTTTGGATATGGCATTCTTTCTTCGGCATGGCAGGTTCTCACAATGATATCAACGTGCTGCAGCGTTCTCCAGTCTTCGCGAGGCTTGCAGAAGGCCACTCCCCACCTATCAACTTTGAGATCAACGGCCACCAGTACAACAAGGGATACTATCTAGCAGATGGTATATATCCTCAGTGGTCAATTTTTGTGAAGACAATCTCGAAACCCCAAGGTGAGAAGAGAAAGAGATTTGCCCAAATGCAAGAGAGTGTTAGAAAGGATGTGGAACGTGCTTTTGGTGTGCTTCAATCCCGGTGGGGTATCATTCGAAACCCTGCACTGTCATGGGATGAAAGGAAGTTTTGGGAGGTGATGACTGCTTGTGTGATCATGCACAACATGATCGTCGAGGACGAGCGTGATGAGAGTATCTTCGACCAAGGATTTGATTATCAAGGTGAAAATATTGAGCCCCTGCACCAAGACCCGGCCACATTTGAACAGTTTGCCCAATTCCACCGTGAGATGCGTGATTGGCACACTCATTTGAATCTTCAAAATGACTTGGTAGAGCACGTGTGGGATCACATTGGCAACCAATAAATGTATTGGTCCATTTTATGTTCAGTGTAGACAATTTCGATTTGGTTGTAAAACTATTTTAATTTTCAGACAAACATTTGGATTGTAAAAACTAGTTTTGATGAAAATATAGGCATTTTTGGCCGCGACGGACATGATGGGGCAAAAGAGATGGGGCCGCGCGCTGGGCGCACGGCCACCGCATCCCAGTACATGCCCCGACACGACCCCATTACCCTACCCAAACGGACAGAATCCGGACAAAACAGACGTCCGTTTGGGGTCGTGCAGTGGAGTTGGCCTTAGTACAATCATAACATAGTTCAATATTATTGGCAGAGACAAACAAGCTCATCTTAACATATTTTCGCGGTCGTTGTTTATTTGGAAGTTTATGGGTGATGTTTGAGTGAAATCAAGCTAATAAAATAACTGTTACCAATAATTTATCTTATTTTTTGCGAGGGAATAAAGATATATCATGGAATTATTCATTGCAAGTTGCTGATTCATGATGGGAAAAAGCATGGCATGCCTTTAAGGAAGGAGATTTAAAGCAACATTGAAGTATTATCCACAATTGATCGACTAGCGTCTCTGGCGCCCCTTTGATGTTGTGGAAACTTGGTGGTCTTTTTTTCTGCTTTTCAATTATGTTTTATTTGGGATTGCTTGTTTTGTGACCCCAACATACTTTTTATGTCGGTGTGGTGCTACTCGGTGTATGGACTTGTTGGTTGCTTTATCTATAAAGCGGGGTGAAAGCCTATTTCAAGATTTGATTATACTAAGAAGCACATGAAACAATAAAGCTAGTCAACAAAATGCTATGCGACGTTCGAATATTCAGGATGATATCTAATCACCAACATCTCAAATGTAAATACGTTCCAGAGAAAATCGAACAAAAATGATACCGTTATGTTAGAAGCTAAAGGATCTGTGTCTACTCACTCAGATGAAAAGGCAAACGCCAATGAACCTTGTGGTATAGTAGAATGTTAGTTTAGTAATGCGGTGGAGATTTCTTTTAACAAAGCTAACTTAACAGATATTTGCTTATCATTCACAAAACTTCAGTTCAAAATCAAACACAACCTCCCATAAAAAAGTCAAACACAACCAACAAATTAATGGAAAAAAGTTTTCATGAATAAAAAATGACACATGACATAATGATCTTCATAACCCTATTGTGGCACCAAATATATATTCATAACAATTTAGACAATTAACCTGAGAAATAATTGGAACAAAGACTCTTGCCAAAAAATGATTAACCAGGACAGGAATTATTCATCATAAACCCTGTGCAAGAAGCACAAAAAATAATATTCAGTTTTTAAATATTATAACCCAGTAACACCATACATATTATTCATTTATCTGATGCTCTGGGACTGGAATATTCATCAATACTGTAATCAACGTCTGAAATCATTGATAACTGATCCACAATAAAAGAATGGTAAGAATAACAACTTTCTGAAGCAGATAAGTATATTGAAATTCACACTTTGGTCAAGTCGTCTCCAAGGAACTAAATATCAAGGTGGAATTAAATTAAACGGTACTAGCAAGAGCCAAATTACTTGGCAGGATTACAGGAGAATAATCAGCCTGTGACTATCGACCATATACTAACTTCATTCAGAAACTCAATTGAAAAAGAGAATCAGACTAATTAATTAGTACGAGGCATTGGCAAAGATCGAACAAGTTAAAGCAATGGCGCAGTAAATCAAGGTCTAGCTATAAATTAAATGGCAGGCCGCTGCATGGAGATGATGGTACACCAACTCTACCACATCGAATAAAACAAGCGCCCTGCACAGTAGCCGTGCTCCCGAAAGTTAGGCACGGCAGCATGGGCCAAAAGATCCCCGTAGAAACAACACATGAGATAACAGCGGCTTTGCTGATGACAAGATGGCTTACCCAACCCCTTCGACCAGCTACCACAGCATAATTTTCGTCCTCAAGCCGCGGTGGCTCAAGCAAATCGACCAAACTCACATTTGACATGACACAACAAGGTGGAAATAGCCAAAAAAATAACCCCGTGGTTCTTTATCTATTTATTATTTCCTTTGATCCAATGATCACCTGCCAATCTTAGAGGAACCGAACTGATATATTTTTCAATACATAGTAGACATCCTAGAAGTACTTTAAATCTGCAAAGAGCAGAGCTTCGGTACACCCATAAACTTACGATACAGATCTAAACATCGTTGGTTTCTCATGCAAGAAAAATTAGGTATAGTGATTTTCATAAATCATTTGTAATTTGCACTCCTAAACTGAAGTTACAGAAAACTTCTTTATGCAAGCTTTAGAGTCAATAGATCCACAGCACAATATGACTTTGTTGTGTAATAACTTGGCCTGCTTAGCAATGAAGAAAGACAAAATCAGACTGAAACTAACAAATCTCATTAAAAAAATTGAGAAAAGAAATCCCATAAAAATATGATATTGTTATTTCTCGCCGCTAAGAACAATCTGATCAAAGTTAGAGATTCTTACAAGTATGGAATGGATGAAAAATCTTGATCGGAAATATATCTCTATCACTGTACTTGATGAGACAAATTTGGTCCTGTGTTCATTGAGATATGGCCACTCCTTAGTACTTCATCCGTCTCATAATATAAGATATTTTTATAAACTATGTTAGCTTGAAAAAACATCTTATATTATGAAACAGAGGGGTGCATGTTTTCATTCTGGATTTGGGATCCGGCAGCAGGGGGAATAAATATGGGGGCTCGCAACAAAAGATTAAGTGAAGATGTCCCTTCATCATATTGTTAACAAGCAGCTACTACTAGCAAACAGGCCAAGGGTAATGTATGGAGCACTGTACCATTATTGGCTTCCATGATCGTGACCCAAGTAATTTACTAGAGTATCAGCTGCATATGTTATTTTAAGAGGGCAAAAGAATTCTTATCACCACATGCATTGCACATTGGCTCTCTTTTTCCCGCTACAAGTTCCAATGCACCGATAAGATGCTTAACAGCACATACAAAGCAAGTAAGAATCCAACCCATGTCTAGCTATTCCTACCAACCCCGTAAATTTGGGAAAGAGATAGTAGAGTATACGTGCTACTAGCTGAACAAGGTAAACAAGATTGGCAATTCGGAAGCCATAGCACGCAAGAGGATGAAATGAAGTGGTCGATGGCGTAGGAACTAGGAAGAGCATCAAAGAGTCAAACTTTTCAGCTGTCAAATTAACAATAGTACTACTACCATCAACCTCTCCATGGCGTCAAGTGATTACTACAAATAATGTTTTGTCTAAAAAATTTACTCCAAAGGACCCACAGAACATGGTGATTTTAACTGTATATGATTTGCAGTTCCCAACATATGCAAACATGTTAAGTTAAAAAAAATGGTAACACAACAGCATCAGCCACATAGAGAAATCAGATAGTAGCATGTTGTACAGCAAGTTTACCTTGGAAATACTGACTGCTTTTCCTTTCATTTTCTTTCCAACTTCTACTACTATCAAAAGACTTGGAAGTTAGCTGTGGCACTGGCACACAGCATGCAGCAGCAAAATGGAAGACAGGGTAGTACCACTACTGGTGATGTGAGATGAAAGAAATGAGGTGACATGTAGTAACAAGATGGCTACCATTATTGCACCAGGCTTACTAGCTAGCACTACGAGTAACAGTTTTCAGTTCATGGTGTTACCATAGCCCATCCCGCCGAGAATGAGCGCCCCGCTGACGGTGTTGTACATGTCCGGCGGCACCGCGGAGGCGTTGCCGAGGTGGAGGTCGGAGATGCTACGCACTGCGGCCGCGTGCGCGTGGCTGGGCTCGTCGTTGCTGGTGCGGCCGTTGTCGGCGCCCTGGTCGTAGAGGAACCCCCTGAACATGTGGCCGTTGATGCTCACCGCCGCCTGGTACGCGAACTCGTCCGCGCCGTCGTCGACGGAGGTCACCCGCACGCACCGGAACACCGCCGGCGCGCGCACGTGCCGCGGCAGGCTGTCCCTGAACGGCGCGTCTGCAGAGGATGGGATAGAAGATGTGATTAGTGTCCAAGTTTCTTGAATTATGTGTGCTGAGACTTGGGATGTGCGTGCGTGCGTCTGTGCTGGTCGATCACCTTGTTGGCTCGAGGAGGTGCCGTTGGAGGTGGAGGTGCGAGAGGTGGTGGTCGTGGTCGTGGTCTGGGACGAGTGGAACCGCGGTTTCTTGGTGGCCGCCGTGGCAGGAGCGGCGGGAGGGGAAAGGTCGCCGCCGAGCGGGTGCTTCTCGCGGCGCCGGGCGGCCGGGATCCAGGTGCTCCTGACGTGCGTGGTGCAGTCGAAGCCGCGGCTCTTGCAGCACGTCCGGCATCGCTGGTGAGGGCAGTCCTTCTTCGCCTGGTTGCCGCAGTCGCTGCACGTGGTGGAGCCGCCGGATCCGGAGGAGACGCCGCCGTAGTCCACCGCGGAGGCCACCTGCTTCTTGTCGGCGGGGGCAACCGCGGGCGGCGTCGCGGGGGGCTGCGAGTGCGATTGCCAGAACTGGATGGCGCTGCCGGACTTGGGAGCGCCAGGGTCGGCGAGCCCGCACTGGCCCGCGGAGAGGAGCGCGAACCCTTGGTCGGCGCCGTCGGCCGCCGCGGCGGCAGCAGCAGCGGCCCTCTGGTGGTGGAAGGAGGAGGCGGGGGCGAGGACGACCATGCCGACATCACCGTTGGCCGCCGCTATCCCGTAGTTGAGAGCGGCGGACTGGCGCGAGGCGGGGGCCCAGAGCCCGGCGGCGGACGCGCCCGCGGCATTGAAGCCGAGCGAGAGGTCGTCGCCGCCGGCCGACGCGATCCAGTCTGCGTAGGCCGCGGAGACCGATGGGAAGCGCCGCCCCGACGACGCCACGCTTGCTGGCGGGGGCAGTAGCTCCCCCTCCCTAGCTAGCTGCTGCACCTGCACCTATCAAGGCTAAGCTTAGCTCCAAAGGCGAGCGGAAAAGGCGCAAGAGCAGACGAAGATGCTCCCTCTGAGAGTGAGGTAGCGTAGCGGCTAGCGGCTGAGCTGAGTGAGCCTACGGACGGACCGGAAACCCCTCCTCTCCATCCACTTTAAAGAAGAATCTCTCTTCCCAGCGAAGGAAGGGGCATCCAAGAGTAAAGAAAAGAAAACGCAAAAGACTCTACCCTACTACCACCTAGCTACCCTAGCTAGCTAGCTACCCTCTCTCTAGTCTCTAGAGCCTACCCTAGGTTAGCATAGCTTGCTAGGTAGGTAGCCTCCTCTCTCTCCTCCTCCCTTTTGGAGTATCTGTCTGTGTGTGTATACACCTACGGCCTACAGGACACTTGTGTTCTTTATCACTCTACTTCCTCAGGACAAAGGAGTGTGTGTGAGAGAGAGGGAGCATGTGTATGCTGTGTGCTGGTGAAGATAGGAGAGAAGGAGGGAGGGGCCGGGCGGGTGCTGCTTCAGCGTGTGTGAGGTCTGAAGAAGTGGCTGCGGGTGGGGTCTGCGGCTGAAAAATTCCTCTGATCGACCACGGGATCTCATCTTTCGCTCGCTGCGCCTGCGGCTGCGCCCAGTGGGGGATCGAGACTTCTTGTGGGGGCGCCGCACCGGGCACGCAGCGCGGCAGCCTGCTGGCAGCTTTCACTGACGCGCCCGCCCGGCTCCCCTTCTCTTCTTCTCCCTCCTGCTCTGCCGCTGCCGCTGCCGCCGTTTGCAGCTCTGCCCCCGCGTTAAAAGCAGCGGCAGCAGCGGCCACAGCCTACGCCCGCGCGCCAGTCTACACTCTACCATAGCCGGTAGCTGCTGGGTTGCTGGATCCATGGATCCGCGGCGCAGGGATTGATTGCTGGTTCGTATTGGGCGCGACGCGATCGACGGCTTTTTACCAGCTCCTGCGGGCGGTGCGATATGATACGCCGGGTCTTTCTTTTCTGCTGCTGCCGCCTAGGGCTAGCTAGGCCTCCATGGCATGGCGGTAGCATCTAGCTAGCCTGATTACTCGGCTGTGCATTGTGTACGAGCGAGCACAAGGACGCGAGGACGAGATAAGCGGATCTGGCGCCATCACGTGAGACCGGACCGGACGCGCCGGAGAAACGGAAGAACGCGCCGCGGTACGCCCGTCCGTCCGTCTGGCCAAATACAGGCTCGCTAGGTTTTCACTCATACCACATTGAATTCGTGGTTTAAGAGCAACTTTAACGGGCCGACTCAAACGAACGGCGATTTCATTTGTTTGGGTCGGCCAGACGGACACGGATGTTCGCTTTCGCATTTGAGTCGGAGCGTGCGCTGATGAAGCTATGTATCTAGGGTAGGGTCATGAAACTATCCAAACTGACCTACCTAAGGACATTTTCAGAAGAAATCATCTTTCAATCGACTTGAAGGTGTCTCACTCGTCAGACTTGAAGATACTCGACCAAGAAGCAATCACTCGACCAAGACCAAGCCACTCGACGGTCAGGTGACCTAAAGGCGCTCCGCATGCTAACGGTCGGTTATTAAGTAGTTTTTATGGTCATCATAGCACTTTATTACTAGCGTTACCAGTAACGCCCTGCCTTAATGTACATTGAACCCTTTGTATCGTGGGCTGGCTGGGGTCTTGGCGCATTCTATATAAGTCACCCCCTCCTCCGAAACAAGGGTTCACACGCCTGTAATTCACACACGCATAATCCAGTCGACCGCCTCCGGACTCCGAGAGGTAAGGCTATTACTTCCTCCGAGAAGGGCCTGAACTCGTAAATCTTGCGTTCCTACAACTCCTCTATAGTTAAGATCTTGCCTCTCCATACTTACCCCCCTACATCACTGTCAGACTTAGAACCACGACAGTTGGCGCCCACCGTGGGGCAGGTGTTTTAGCGTTTTGTTAAAGGAGTTGCGATCTTTTCCGACCCGAATCATCATGATTTTCGGCAGAGTTTTGGTGGAGGGCCGCGAGATCCGTCTCGGCGCGCTCACGTTCATCGCCGACGACTCCGCGTGGCTTCAGGAGGCTCCGCTCGACGTGGACGCACTCCCTGTCCGCGGGGCAACGCACTTTAGCGCGTGCGTCCGCGGCGTTCTCCTGCGGCAACCGTCGACCCCCTACCGGTCGGCTCCTGTGTTGTCCTCCCTCCCAGTTTCCCGCCGGCGCAAGCGCTCTGGTCGGTCGAGACTCCAGCGATGGGTGAGACACGCGGTGGCACGCTAGTTGGCCATCCCTCAAGTCGCGATGATTGAGCCCGACGAATCCCTCTACGGCCTGTTCGACCTGTCGACTGGCTCCGCAGAGACCGCATCCAAGTGCGACAGCAGCGATCCGGCGGTGGAGGTTCTGATGGTCGATGGACCTCCCAGTCCTTCCGGTTTTTCTCGCACCGACGGAGGCGCGGGTGGAGGCGACCCGTCGCGTCCTCATGAGGAATATGTTCCCGAGCCTCTCACGTCGCTGTAGAGAGAAGAACTTCGCCGCCGGAACATGGATGCATTGCACACTCCTATCATTGAAGAAACCCCCGAGGCTCGTGCCTTGGAGGACGCGCGCCTGGCAAACTTGGCCGAGCGCCCTCGACTGGAGAACCTCCAGCGAGCACTCGACGAGCGTGCGCGACAATAGGTTCCCGAATCCAGTCGACGTCAGCTCTTCCCGCCCCTGCAGGTATATCGAACTCCGATTCAGAATTTAGCAGCTGCAACCCACATAGCAGAGTCGATTCAGCCTTCCCAGTCGGAGGCTGGCAGAGGCTTGCTGCAGATCAGAGCGTTGCTCCGGGCAGCAGGAGACCAGAATTCCGCTGTTTCTCAGTCGCGGAACAGGATTCACAGTAGATCCGTTGCCGTAGACACAGTCCAGTCGGCTCATAGCCCAAGATCGCCCCCGAGGCGTGAGGGACGTGTGGACCGGCGTAATCAGCATGGTAACCGTGAGCAATATGATCACCGATTCGATCGTGATGATCGACGTGGAGTGCCCACCCCTCCCCCGAGGAGCGGGTCGTATGCGCCTCGACAATAGGATGATAGGCGCCCTCGTAGTGTTGGACGAAGAATTCCAGTCGACTCCAGGGAGCCAGGCTTCGATGCGAGATCCATTCTCGTTCAAGGTTTGGTTGATAGGAACAGATCTCACCGGAAATGACACGACGGAGATGCTCCTACCAGCAGCAGAGCACATGTTTCGGGGCCAGAGTGCTTTAGTAGAGCCATCAGGGCCGCTGTGATTCCTCCCAACTTCAGGTTGGCGACTGGAGTCAACAAGTTCACTGGCGAGTCCAAGCTCGATACTTGGCTTGAAGACTACCGAGTGGTTGTCCAGATTGGCGGTGGCAATGATAAGGTGGCCATGAAGCACCTGCCTCTCATGTTGGAGGGCTCGGCCAGAGCGTGGCTGAACCAGTTAGCACCCAGCAGTATTTACACTTGGGAATATCTCGCCCGAGTATTTGTCACCACATTCGAAGGAACATGCAAACGACCGGAAGGGTTGACGGAACTGCGGTCCTGCGTGCAGAAGCCGAATGAAACCTTGAGGGATTACATCCAGAGATGGATCACGTTGCACCACACGGTAGAGAATGTGCCTGACCACCAAGCAGTCTGTGCCTTCAAAGAAGGCGTCAAGTACAGGGAACTGAATCTGAAATTCGGTCGAATCGAAGATATGTCTCGGAACCGAATGATGGAGATTGCCACCAAGTACGCTAATGGAGAAGATGAGGATCGACTCCGGAGTGGCAAGCTGAAGTCAGTCGCCCAAGAAACCGGAGGAAATTCCAATCGGAAACAGAAGCGAAAAGCCGAGCCAGCTTATCCTGGGGAAGCCTTGACTGTGACTCAAGGAAAGTTTAAGGGAAAACCCAAAGGACCTTGGAACCCCAAGAAAGTTAAAGACCAGGACGGAAATGATGTGTTGGATTTGCCGTGCCTCGTCCACACCAAGAAAGATGAAGAGGGTAATTTTATTTACCCAAAACATACCACTCGACAGTGTCGACTCTTGATCCAGCAGTTCCAGGGCAAGCAACCCAAACATACCACTCGACAGTGTCGACTGACCAAAGTCTTGATGGATGGTGGCAGTGGTTTGAACATATTGTATGCTGGGACGTTGAAAGGGATGGGCATTCCGATGTCCAGACTCAGTGCCAGCAACATGAGTTTTCATGGAGTCATTCTTGGAAAGAAGGTTGAATCACTCGGCCAGATTGCTCTTGATGTGGTTTTCGGTGATTTCAAGAATTACCGCAAAGAAAAGTTGACATTTGAAGTTGTAGACTTCCAGAGTGCCTACCACGCTATTTTGGGCAGGCCGGCTTATGCACGCTTCATGGCCCGACCATGTTATGTGTATCTCAAATTGAAGATGTCTGGCCCCAAAGGTGTGATTACTATTACGGGAAATCAGAAGAAAGCGGAAGAATGTTTTCAGAAAGGTTCGAAGATCGTTGATGCTCAGATGGCATTGGTGGAGTTGCAGGAATACCAGAACACTGCAAACTCGAGTGATTTGTTGCGAGCCAAGAAGCCCGCCACAGAATCGGCTTTTCAGTCGACTGGCGATACGAAGACAGCTCACATCCACCCGACCGATCCCGGCACTGCTCCGACTCATATCTCGACAACACTCGACTTCAAATAGGAAGAAGCACTCGTCCAGTTCCTCCGTGAAAACTGGAACATTTTCGCATGGAAGCCTTCTGACATGTCAGGTGTTC